TATCCACTCGGCCACCGTGGTGAGGGGCAAGAGAGTGCGTTTGGAGGAGGTATTTGTACATCTATATTTTTTTTTTTTGTGTATGATGGGTGTTCGTGTGTGTTTGTGTGTGTGTGTATATGTCTGCATATATATATATATATATATATATATATATATATATATATATATATATATATATATATATATATATATATATGTATGTATATATGTGTATATACATACATACATATATATATATATATATATATATATATATATATATATATATATACATATATATATATATATATATATATATATATATATATATATATATATATATATATTTATATATATATACATACACACATATATCTATGTGTGTGTGTGTTTGTGTGTGTGTATGAAAGGGCGAATATATTTTATCCTGCTGTAATTTTGGAAACTATGCCATATGTAATCGTCCAAATATCACACATTAAATTTAAAATTAAGAGCAAATTCCCCACTTCCCTCAATAAAGCTATACCGCTTTTATTTTTCAGTTCACTGCCTGAGAGAATCTGTGAAAGTCTAAGTGATTATATTATAAAAGATGAAGATGGAAGAGAGAGAGAGAGAGAGAGAAAAAATCATTGTCCTTTTATTCACAGGGCGTAATTAGTAAGTTTTCTTAACTTGTTTTTATTTTCTTCTTTGTCTGAATGAGAAACACGTTTTTTTTTCTCTCTCTCTCTTTCTCTTTTTCATTTTACTGCTTTGGCTTTCTTCTTTTTCTTTTCTTTTTGCGTCCTTCCTCGTCTCCTTCCTTTCCTTTCTTGGTATAAAAAAATCGTGTAATTATCGCCCTTTCTTTTTTCCCTCCGACTTCCTACACTTCCAAACTTCTGCTTTCCCCTTGACCTTTTGGTTTCGTCATCTCTTTCTTTTTCTCGTTCTCTCTCTCTCTCTCTCTCTCTCTCTCTCTCTCTCTCTCTCTTTCTCTCTCTCTGAGTCTATCTGTGAATCTCTCTCTCTCTCTCTCTCTCTCTCTCTCTCTCTCTCTCTCTCTCTCTATATATATATATATATATATATATATATATATATATATGTATGTATGTGTGTGTGTGTGTGTGTGTGTGTGTGTGTGTGTGTGATATATATATCTGTCTGTCTGTATATCTATCTATCCATCCATATATATGTGTGTTTATGTGTGTCTATATAATAGCTCCCAGAAAATCCATTAATCAATCAACCAATTATCCCCCAAAGAACTTAAGAAATCAAAAAAGCAACTTCTGAAGAGAAATCTTAAATCTTAGCCGATCAGTTCCGACGATTTTTCGCCAAGTAAAACCGAGCCGTCGAGCCATAGCCGTCGGTCGTTCTCTGCCGCTGTTTTTCCTTGCCGATGTTGGGCCTCGAAGTAACTCTGTTGTGAACTCTTATGGATAAGTTGTCATTGTAGGTCCTTCTCCAGAGTATGACAATGGTATAAGAGTATTGCATTGGTATAAAAAAGGAGAGAAAAGACAGAAAAAAATGGATGGATTACAAATGAATTCAAAAGGAAGGCTAGAGTTTTGTAATCAGGCGATAAAAGCGACTTGGGCAACCTTTGAATTTCTTCTGTTTGTTCGACTTTTCTTTTCTCTTACATTTGCCTCCTTTTCCTTCCCCGTTTTCTTCGTTGCTTCTTTTGCTTGTTAGTTTGTTTTTCGTCTTCTCTCTTGCTTTTCATTTGTTTTTGTTTTTCTCCTTTTCCCCTACTTCTCTTAATTCTCCATCCCCTATTTTTCTCTTTCATTCCGTTCCCTTTATTTCTCTCTTTCTCCATTGTCTTCCACTCCCTTTTACACTTCCTCCAAAATGACTGATCCTTCAAAGAACAAATTCGGGCAATATTGTGGTTCGACCCTTTGTGTATTTCGTAGAGACCGCTATAAAATATTTACCAAGACAAGTGGAAGCGCTTGTCCCAGTGCTGAGACTCCAACTGTTAACAAGTCGCCCGGAAAGACTATTTAGGTCTGGACGTCGGAACAAACAAGAACATTCCACGAAGCGTAGGACGGGGCAGAAAAGTTCTTGATTTTGTTTCCCACTGATAGCCATTAGGATTCTGCTGTGTCGGACAACCAACAGATGGCAGCACTAGTACTTTCTCCCTTACCTCATTGGTTGATATTCCTATGGCGGTTCGCCGTGAACGAGATGCGCAGTTGGCGTTCTTGGAAATGTGTTGTTTAAGAAAGGAAAGATGTACATGGTTTTACACTATCTAATGTCAGTGAGCCATATAGACGATTTTGATTGGTATAAATAATTTTCCTATTGAAATATTAATTTTCATGCTACTCATACTGTTTCTTCTCTCTCTGTTTATCTCTCTCTCTGTTCACCTCTTTCTCTCTCTCTCTCTCTCTCTCTCTCTCTCTCTCTCTCACTTCCTCTTTCTGCTTCCTATTTCTGTTTTCTTTTCTATCTCTCGTACCTTTCTTTCTCCTCTCTCTCTCTCTCTGCCCCCACCCCC